GAAGCCATAGCCGCTATCTGGTTGAGACCCACTGTGTGTGTGCGTGTGTGTGCGGCAGAGAAGCCATAGCCGCTATCTGATTGAGACCCACTGTATGTGTGTGTGTGTGTGTGCGGCAGAGCTGCTGGAGACAATGACAAACATTCTTGTATATTGATAGTAATATTGGAGACGACATCTTCAAGAGTTGATTGTATCTCGATTTGGCTTCTCAAGCGTGATCGGGCCATGTAAATGTTCATTGATGTATGAAAGGTTGAACTTGACAAGTACTTGACTCATTTCAGGTTCAACCATCGTTAGATTTCCACCCATCTTTCCCTCGTGCTCCAGCTCTGCCCTGCATCTGATGGACAGTTACAATCTGTACACCAGAGGGTGCATGTGGATCTCTTGGTGGTCCAGATACAGGATCTTTATGTTTGGTATGATTGGCAGAGTGAAAATGTTCGTCTTGCTGCTTGCCGGTGGGGTAGGAACCAATGGAGTTCAGACCTCTAGTCCGATGCTTCCTTCCCCATTTGCTGGTGGCAAGCTGGACATTTCCAACAATTATAAATGTCTCTCTTGTTCTTCTCCTCTGACTTTCTCTTTTTCCTCCCTCTCCCTTCTTCTCTCTTTATAAAAGCGCATTTCTCTACCTGTGCTGCCGGCTGCTTCCTCGTCTTCCTCCCTCTCACTTCTTCTCTTCCGTAAAGGTGGATCTTTCTCCATGCTGTTGTTCTTATTTTTCACCCCTCCTCCCGACCACATTTCTCTTTCTTCCCCTCCTTTCTGTGCCTCCTGTCTCTCCCTTCTCCTCTTTTTCATAAAGACACGATCGATCTCCATGTTTATGCAGCTTTCCACCCCCCCTCCTGACAGGTCTTGTTGAAGTTACGTGGTATGATGCTGCCAGTGAGATCGCAATTGGCCAAACGGCTGCCCCAATCACCTATCCCCCCACACATGCATGCAAAGGTCGCACGCTTTTGATTAAGATCAATGCTATCTTAAAAAAAAAAAAAAAGAATAACACTTGTCTGTACATAATCAGCTGCGAACCTCGTCCTGCAATCATACTAGACTCTGGACTTGCTCACAACATGCACACACGAGGACCGATGGCAAACCAAACTTGTGAACTCAGAATCAACAACGGACTTGCTTTTAAACTCTGTTCAGAACAACTGTACATTGCGGCTATGGCCGCCAAACACAGTCTCTATCACCAGCCTCACTCTTCCTCACCCTCACATGCACGCACGTACGGGGATCTCCCTGAATGTCCATGCTGCACAGACACACACACTCTGTATACCCTGTCTGCACCAACAGCTGGGCGGCTATGGCTACCGTCGTCTTCCTCCTCCTAGCTATGGCCGCCGGTGTCCCTCTCTCGCTGGTTCGCTATGGCCGCTGTCTTCTTCACAGCCCACTTCTTCTCCGGGCACCTGCTGTCCTCCACGCACAAGATACCAAGGCAGCTCTTCCGCATGGCACACAGGCGAATGAATGAATGGCTGGATGCTGCCTCTTTATTTATACTTCTTGGGAGGTACCCGGGCCTGCCTCAAAACGTGTGGGCCTGGGCCAAAACGTGTGGCCCAGGGAAGTTTCCAGACGTTTGGCCTTCTGGGCCAAAACGTGTGAAACCCAGTGTGCTCCAGAACCTTCCCCACGTGCAGCCCCTACCCTTGGTACTTGCTGGCTGGACTGTCCTACGACCTTCTAGACTATACAGACCTACAGNCAGTGTGCTCCAGAACCTTCCCCACGTGCAGCCCCTACCCTTGGTACTTGCTGGCTGGACTGTCCTACGACCTTCTAGACTATACAGACCTACAGACAGATTCCAGTCCTCAACAGACTCCGTAGAGACTTCTAGAACAGACTTCCTAAGCCTATCGGTAACAGACCTAGCTGCTAATCTACAGACCTCGGGATCAAGTCCTACTCAGCACACAGGGTCTATGTACAAGTATAGGGTAGGTCTAGGGATCGAATCTCACTCAGCACACGGAATCAATGTACAGGGTTGTGGCACAGGTCTAGGGATCGGATCTTTGTGACTCCAATGTTTTTCCAAAAGCTCTGTTCTTGTGAACCATCGGTCGTCCTCGGGTTCCTGGTATGCGAACCGAACTTTATACTGCTTCTGGGGACGACCTCGACCTTTTGTCCTAAACACGTCCTCTTCGACTATGTGATCTATATCATATGCACCATCCACGTCTGGCGGAATCATCGATCTCCTAGAAGGGAATCTGTCAGATGTGGTGCAGGGTAACAACTTAGATGCATGGAAAACTGGGTACGTGTGGAGGTGTGCTGGAATCTCTATAGTATATGACGGGCCGTTCTCTCCTCCTTTGACTTCTAGGACAGGCCACGGTCCTCTATACGCAGGTAAGAGATTCTGCGAGATGTTTTCCTCAGGTGTGAACTCCTTTGACTTGACCCACAGACTAGATCACCTACCTGAAACTGTGAAGGTCGGCGGTGCTTGTTAGCTTGCTCTATCATCCGATGCTGGGCCTTTCTCAGATTGTTTATGACCTTAGCGACTTCCTGCCCATGCTGTAACGCAAACTCTCGTGTGCCGTGTGGTAGTTTGTGTATCTGGTCCCGGTTTAGTCCCTCAAACGGTTGCCTTGGTCTAAAGGACTTATGTAGCTCGTTAGGAGTCCTGCAGGTAGCTAGATGAACACTGTTATTGTAGGCACTTGCTACTTTGGGAAGCATCTCATCCCAGTTTATCTGATCTGGTCTAATATACATTCTAAGTAGCTGTTGCAAGATCTTATTAATCTGCTCTGTTTGGCCATTAGTCTCTGGGTGTCGTCCTGACGACATCAACAACTCAGATCCATAGACTTTCATAAGATCCTGCCAATTCTGACTAGTAAACCGCGTGTCTCTATCATTGACTATGGACAGCGGCATGCCATGCTCGCTTACCCAGAAATCGAAAAACTTACTAATGACTAAGTTTGTACGTGCCTCTGAAGGCAGGGGAACAAATACTGCATACTTGCTAAATCTATCTACTAGGACCATGACTTAGAGTCTTGCCGTGCCTACTTTTGACCCCAGTATCCATGAAGTCAATAGAAACCGAATCTTCGGGTCCTAATGGAATAGGCAAGGGTCTAAGAAGACCTAGAGGGGCTCTGGTTGTCGTCTTATTACGCTGACACACCTTGCAGTTGAGCACAAACTCTATGCAGTCCGCTTTCATTCTGGCCACGTGTATGACATCATCAGGTTAGCTAAGGTTTTCTGCCAT